AAGTGTGGCCTTTGTGTTAAAAAAAAAAAAAAAAAAAAAAAAAAAAAAAAAAAAGTTAAGCTTCTTTGGGGGAGATTTAGCTGCTTATCAATTTGTTCAAGTTTGAATAGTTGCTGAAATATTAATCCTATATCTGATTTTACAAAGAAAAAGGCAAAGCCACCTATTAAAGTTAAATGCCGAGGCAATTCCGTCACGAGCGTAATCTTTTTAGAACGGTGACATAAACAAAACTCAAATGTTTTTGGACCCCCAGACATGGTATTATTTTAAGAAGCCCTTCAAGAGAAAATTGAATTGCAGCATCCCACAGTGTCAACCCAACTCGCTCAGGAATACCAACGGGGAAAGTAATGCTGGGATTTAACCAGGCAGAAGGCCCACTAAGCATGCCCTGTGCTCTCGACTTGCGAAGCGACTTGCAAAAGCCTCGCTCGTGTTCACAACTACTCCCCAGCACAGGGAGGAGGCCGCACCTGGCATGAGCGCCGCCGTGGGGAACACCTGCTCCAGCATCCTCTGGCTTTCGTCCACCAGCTCCTCTTTGGTCATGGGCAGTTCCAAGACGTCGATGATGATCTGGGCAGCCTCCAAGGCCTTTTTACCCATCACCAGGGACTTCACGTCCCAGCCGTAAGTCTTCTGGTAGCGGTCACAGATCTCCTGAAACACCACCGAATACAGCCGCTCGGTATCTGCAGAAACGAACACGAGACGCAGGTCAAGACATGGTTTTAGCGAGCGTACGCTACGAACCACCAATCGGCGTCGCAGCAGCGCGGAGGTCGCGCGTCCCGTGCATCCCATGCCAGGAAGAGAGACTTTCGGGGAGACGTTAAGTGAACGGTGCAGCCCCCCTCTCAGGGGCTGATCTGGAAATCGGGAGAGAAATGAAGCGGGCCTCTCGCATGGACACTGCGATTGAGGACGTGTCCCTGCTCTGCGGCAGGTGTCCCAGTTGCAGGACGCTACCAGGGCTGCTGCGAGGCCCGCAGCTGAGAACGGCACCCAGAACGGGGCAGGCTGGCGGGCAGAATGAGGTCCTAGCTGGGCACTGGGCAGGCTACAGCCTCAGCCACGTGTTCGCCTCCCTGAGCCTCCTTGCCCTCACGTTTGCGCAGGTCAACAGGAGCCTTGGCTCTGATAAAGCAAATCCACCTTCCACTCCACCAGAAAAACAAGTAAAAGGTGTCTCCTAGGCCCAGCTGGGTTCGCACACTGAGCAGACCTAAAGCATGCTGATAGGGACCAGCAATGTAGTAACGGCTACGTCACTGGACTCCCATGTAGTTGACCACGGTTTGAGTCCCGGATCCGGCAGCTTGAAACTCACACCGGGCACATGGGCGCGTGTGCCCAAAATCCTGAGAGGACAATGGAGGAGAAGGCACTGGGGTCTGACCATCCCCCATTGGGGGTGATTTCTCGCTTTCTCTCTGTCTCTCCAGCAAGTGCACGCACCCCATAGCAAAAATCTCTCTTAAAAAATAAAAAATAAAAACTGCCAGGAACCCTATAGCAAAAATCTCTCTTAAAAAAAATAAAAACTGCCAGGCACACGTACATGCATACTCCCAAAATCCCAAGAGGAGAATGCAAAAGAGCCTGCAGTGTGGCCATCTCCCGAGGGATGATTTCTCACCTTCCCTGTCTCTGTCTCTCTCCAGTGAGCGCATGTGCCCAATGGCACAAAAAAATAAATCAAAAAAGAAAAAGTCTTCCGTAAAGGAGAGTCACCCTATCACGAGGGTTCTCTCATTTTCTGTTTCCCTGCGAGATGGAGAGAAAGGGAATGGCAGTGAGGTTGTGCACCCCACTTTTCTCTTAGGAGTTGAGAGAGGAAGCCTCTGACAAGCAGGAATTACAGGCACGACAGGAATGAGGGACTGGGGGCGAGGCTGACGCGAGTGTACCAGGAGGAAGAGAGGGTGTGAAAAACGGCGGATTCGGAGCCGGAGACAAGAGCTGCATGCTATGAACGCACTTGCAACAGGGTTCATTTACAGCTTAGAATGTCATGGCGCGTTCTCATTTAAAAGATACGCAACGGTGGGATTATGAATCTGTCGGGGACTGCACAGACAGCCACTTTTCTTCATGACTTAGATAAAATCATCCTAAATGCTCCATGGAATGAGGAAGGATCTAAACAAGTCATTAAACTGCTCAGATCGAGGGACGACACCCCGCTCACAGCGGACGGGGCCGCGCTGACCTGGCCAAAGCTCCCGCAGGCTCAGAGCCTCAGCTGGCCGGGCGAGCTGCAGGGCAGGGTCCTCTTTATTTAGCCTGCTGCGAGCTTCAAGTGCCGCCAGTGGCCTCAGCGTCCTCTTTGGCTTTTTCATTTTTATTTTTAAGGTTTTTGCCATTGGGTGCATGTGCCCCACGGAGAGGAGAGAGACGGGCAGAGACGGTGAGAAGGAAAGTGAGGAATCACCTCCCAGGGGGATGGCCACACTGCAATCCCTTCTCCCTTGCCCGCCATTCTCCTCTGGGGATGTTGGGAATGCACACATGCCCAGCGTGATATTCGAGCCACTGGGTCCAGGACTCAGACCACACTCGGTCATGTGGGAGTCCGGCACCTTCACCACCATGACACCTGCTGGTCCTGCACGTGAGTCTGACACTCACTCTCCGCATGGAGCAGCTGCAGGAGAGGCAATGACAGAAGAGGCCTCAGGAGGGGTCCGATGGGACTCCAGGCACAGGGCAGTGCTAGCAGGCGCAGGGGGCCGATGTCCGCTGTGAGCAGCCAGCTTGGTTCTGGGTGGGAAAAGTCGCTGCATTGCAGCTTCAATTAATGAGTTGGTTAGAGGAGGCACCCTCGTTCCAGAAGAGCTAGGTCCCACAGCCTCCCAGTCTCTAAGCTGGCCAGCTGAGTCCTCGGTTGTACAACTGAAACCCAAAGCCTTGCTGCGTCCATCTCTGGCCCACTGAGGCCCACTGGGGATGGCACCTGTGTGCATGTATCCCAGCAAAAGCATAAGGAGCGGGCCCAGGCAGCGGCACACGCCAGCCTGGCACTCTGCAGTGCTGGAAGCCACAGGGTAGGCTGGGGTTTGGTTCCTGGGTCTACCCTGCAGGCTGGGTGCATGTGCATGCCAAGGATCCTGGGTGCTGAGAAGGTTACTGGAAGGACTGCAGCCTGAGACCCTGTGGAGGGAGCTTGTCTCCCTCCCTTTTCTCTCTCATGAAAGAAACATACATTTAAAAAAAAAAAAGAGAGAGAGAGATTTAAGGGACAAAAGTATCCCTCCCCCTCTCAGAGAGCTGTGCCCCTTTACCATGCAAATAATCACATCACTTCAGTTTTTTAAACTGAGTTGCATCACGGCCAGCAGGTGGTATAATGGTTAAGGCACTGGACTCCCACATGGCTGACCATGGTTTGAGTCCCAGACCTGGAAGCTTGCTTTCTTACTCTTTCTTTTCCCCCGATACTTAAAAACAATAATAATAAGTCCTGGGGACCGGCAGTTGGCGTAATGGCTACGTTGCTGGACTCCCATGTAGTCGACTATGGTTGAAGTCCCGGATTCAGTGGCTGAAACTCATGCCAGGTGTGTGCCCAAGATCTCAAGAGGAGAATAGAGAAGGGACTGTAGCGTGGCCATCCTCCCCAGAGGGGTGATTTCTTTCTGTCTTACTCTGACTTTCTGGGGAGCCCATGTGCCCTATAGCAAAAACTTCTCCATATATATATAGGTAGATTAAAATAATAATTCTTTACATAAAAACACCCAAGTTCCATTATTAAATAGAAAAACCTCTTACCACCCACATAACGCACATCAGGACCTATTCTAAGACCTGATTTTTCTTCCCACTCCATATTCACGTTCATGCGAGACTTGGAATGCATTGTATTAGTCTGTCACTGCACTGCTTACAGAAATGCCCGAGACGGTGAATTCATAAAGATAGAGGTTTATTCAGCTCATGATTTGGTGGCTGGAGAGTCCCTGGTACCAAGCCAACCTGTGTCACACCACACAGCCAATGCAAGCTGAAAAGAGTGGGAGCTTGGACAGAGAAAACTCTTTTTTTTGAAAGTTTTGCCAGAGGACCCAAGCAAGAGTGCAACCCTCCACCTCCCACGGGGCATGGTCGAACCACATTCCCTTCTCTGTTTCTCCCTTCGTTGGGGATGTGGGGCATACGGGGGACACTCAGCGTGTTTCTCAAGCTGCTGGGTCCAGGACTCACCGTGTGCAGTCAGCCATGTGGGATCCACCCATGTAACCAGCAGCACGGGCTGTCTCAAAAGGATCTTATCTAATGGCTGGCACTCGGGACAACTCACTCCTTCTCAAAAGACCTAGACCTTCCTCCCTCAGTGCTTTAACGAGATAGCATCAGGCTATTCATGCCTCATGATCCAATCACCACCCGCTGGGACCAGATGCCATATGGCCAAATGGGGTTCGAATCCCAGCCCCAGTGTCTTGAAAAACATGCCGATGCGTGTGTGCCTAAAATCCTGACAGGTGAAAGAAATGGGGAAGGGATTGCAGTGCGACCAAACCCCATTGGAGGGTGCTTTCTCCCTCTTCCTCTCTCTCTGTTGAATGCGCAAATCCTCTGGCCAAAAATAAATAAATAAATAAAAAATCTGGTTCCATAGGTATGGGACTGCAAGCCCTTGTTTACTACTGCTTGCTAACTAAGATAGGCTTAGGGCATCTTTACACACCTTGAACAAATCCATTTCATGCTTTGGTTGGAAAGTTATCTTGATGAATCTTGAATATGGTTTTATTTCCGATGAGCAAAAAAGAAAAAGGATGGGAACAAGCAGTTAGCGTAATGGCTATGTTGCTGGACTCCCACGTAGTCGACTGCGGTTCGCGTCCTGGACCCGGTGGCTTAAAACTCAGGCCGGGCGCGTGTGCGTGCGTGCCCAGGATCCCGAGAGGAGAATGAAGGAGAAGGGATTGCGGCATGACCATGACCCCCGGGGGGTGATTTCTCGCTTTCTGTCTCTCTGTCTCTCTCTGTCTGTCTGGCGAGCGCACGCGCCCTATAGCAAAAAAAAAAACCTCTCAAAAAAAAAAAAAAAAGAAAAAAAGAAAAAGGAAAAGGAAGGCCCTAAAGCCAGTGTCTGTGTTACTGATAGCTTGGTTCCTTAAAGACACAAAGCCAAGCTCTACTGGAAGGGCCCATCTGGAGCGAACATCCGAATGTCACGATCTGGCATTTAGAGAGAGGTTCTAAGATGGCATGCTTCCTCAGTTATTTTTTTAAGTTTATTCTTTTATTGAAGAGAGAAAATGCGTGCTTGGGCAGGACAGCGGGAAAGCGCCCTCCGCAGGGTCTCGTCCTGCCTCCATCCCTTCCCCAGCCCTCCAGCTCCACACCTCATGAGGGCTGCTTTCTCCCTCTCTTTCTCTCTGTCTCACTGTGGCAAGGGCACGTGCTCTCAGGCAAAGATTTCAAGAGAAATAAATAAAATGAACACATTTGAACTAAGAAATGTGTAATGTGTAACTTATTGGAATAATAACCAAAAAAAAAAAAAAAAGATGCACCATATCCCCCCTAACTGTTACACAATGTTCTCCATCACCAGGTCACTGTGACCTACGAGGTTAGGTCACAAGGTCCCTGTGACCTGACCTTGTATTTGTCTCCCTCTCCCTCCCTCACGCCCAAATCAGATTGATATAAAGAGTTCTGTACTGAAAGCAAGAGTTTGCAAAGAAGAAATCTTAAATATGCCCTATTCTGCCTCAAGTTGGTTGCAGCCAACGATTCCAGTTCATTGAGTTTCTTAAAGTTAATTAAGTAATAGTATGTCAAATGGGATGTGTGTTTTAAGGAAGATGACGCACAGCCTTCTTACACCCATGACAACCGTGAACCTCTTTAGAAAAGACACGCAAATAAGCTCATTCACTAAACACGTACACCTTGCAACAAGGACAGTCTACTTAATGGGATACACTACACGTCAAAGATTAGTTCAGTGATTCATCTTTCTTTCTTTTCTTTTTCTTTCTTTTTTTTTGGGAGAGGTTTTTGCTATAGGGCGCGTGTGCTCGCCAGAAAGAGAGAGACAGAGAGATAGAAAGTGAGAAACCATCCCCCAGGGAGGGATGGCCACGCCACAATCCCTTCGCCTCCATTCTCCTCTTGGGATCTTGGGCACGCACGCACACACGCCCAGTGTGAGTTTAAGCCACCGGGTCTGGGACTTGAACCATGGTCGACTACAAGGGAGTCCGGCGACATAGCCATGACACCAACTGCTGGTCCCTTCATCTCTTTCTTAAAAGGAAACCAAGGAAAAAAATACTTTTAAGTATTGGGAGCACTACTCATAAATGATCAGTTGTTGGGTCAGTCCAGTGGTGTAGTGGTGAAGGTGGCTGGATCCTATATGGTGGCGGCTCAGTTCGAGTCCCGGGCCCAGCAGCTTAAGCACATGGACCACGAAAGAGAGAGAGCTGGAGGAAAAGGACGGCCTGACCATGTCACATGGTGGGAAGGGCTTTCTCCCTTTCCCTCTCTCTCCCTCTCCCTCTGCCTCTCTCTCTCTCCCTCTCCCTCTGCCTCTCTCTCTCTCTCTCTCCATCTGCCACACTCTCTCCTCTTTTTCCCCCAACTCTATTTTTCTCCCTCTGCCTCTCTCTCTCTCTCTCTCCCTCTGCCTCTCTCTCTCTCCCTCTCCCTCTGCCTCTCTCTCTCTCCCTCTCCAGCTCTGAGACACTTTTTGAGAGAGAAAGAGAAATACACATTGCCGTGGGTGGTCTTGCCGAAGCGTTTACACACTTGCTGTGTTTGTGCGTTCTGGCCTGGGACCCTCTTGCCCATCTAGGAAAAGCATGTCCAGCTCTATGAAGATGTCAGAGCAATGGAAGGATGGATGTTCAAAACCCTGACTCTGCTGGGCAGAAGGTTCTCTGAGAAGCTGAGCTTAGACCTGCAGGGCCCTGGACACCCAGCCCTTCACATGAGAAGGGTCTGAGCCGTCGACACGGGCCAGCTCTGAACCTGGGGCTGCCAGGGGCTTTTCTTAACCTTTGCTGGCATGCACGCTTGCTCAGAAATTTCGAGAACTGTAAAGGAAACAACTGCTTTGGAAGGACACTGTGGCAGCAGCTGCTGAACATCGCCCCTTGCACTCCTGGCTCCCAGCACAGGGCTCAGAGCTGCCAAGCGCTGCTGCTGTCCTCAGAAAAACTCCATGCATGTGCTGGAGGGTGCACCGTGAGGCCAAACCGGCAGCCCTCTTAGGGAGCAGACACGTGTCTCGTATCCGCTCCAAACATCCCTGTCCACGTGCGTCAGCACGGCAGGCGTCTCGAGGGGGCACTGCCTACATTTGGAGGGAGACGGGGCAAGCGGAGGAAAACCACGGATGCTGGCAGAGTGCTCATGAGGGAGGACAGGAGGTGCAGAGGGCCAGAGTCCTGGGTCGTGCGATCCCTCGGCTGTGTGGATGCACACGCCACTGCACCCTGATGAGCATGGCACAGGCTGCTGACCCACGTCACACAGCAAGGGAGCCTGCCTCCACCACTTGTAATCGGCAGAAGCCCAGGGCCCAGCAGAGGACTGGGACAGCTCTGTGTGCCCAGGGGGAGGCTTCTGCAGAGCCCGGACAGACACGTGAGCTGGGGGTCCTGGGGCGGCTGCCTGGGGTTGAGGCGTCCCGTGTGACTGGCTCAGGGCATACTTGGCTTTCCCTGGTTGTCCTGAGTTGGAGTCAAGGACGGAGAAGAGGGATGGCGCCGTGCTTGACAAAGTCCAGACCACGGAGGGGCGCAGAGGCGTGGCCGGGCTTTCTGGCTGGTGGCTGGAAAGCCATGGGCCGCAGCTCTCTTGTCACCCATGTCCGAGGTATCGCTCCAATCTCTTGGGAACTCATTATTATTTTTTTAATTATACAGGAAGAAAAGCAAACATACTCATGTGCTGAACTCAGTTGAACTCACTGGCTTTTTCTATTCACACCCAAAAAAACACTATCATAACAGTTTTATCAAACTGGCTTCCATCGGATATATCATTGCCACCATGGTGGCATCTTTTGTGTGTGTGTGTGTGTGTTCCACTGAAAAGCTGTGGCTGCGAGTGGTACTACGAGCAATTAGGAGATGGGAAAGGAAATACACTAACGTTAACAGCGATTTTTAAATAGTTTTCATGAAATGTTCATGGAAAGCTTCTGTGCTTATAGATTATTTGAAACAATACCAGGCAAGATTATCATTTTTACCTTTTACTTTTACATTTACCAGAAGGCAATCGCACTCAAGAGACAGACAAAAGGAAAGGAAGAAAACACCCCTCATGGCGGGGATGGCCATGCTACAATCCCCTCTCCTCTGTTTTCCTCCTGGGGTCTTGGGCAAGTACGCACACACCTGGCATGAGTTTCAAACCACTGGGGCCAGGACTTGAACCACATTCAGCCACATGGGAGTCCAGCAACATAGCTATTACGCCATCTGCTGGCCCCAGGAATGCATTCTTTCTGATAAAACGTTTATTACTCAGGGCTAGCAGGTGGTGTGTTGTGAAGGCACTGGACTCCCACATGACTGACCGTGGTTTGAGTCCCAGGCTTGCTGGCTTGCTGGCTTGCTCTTTCACTTTCCCTCTGTCTCTGTTTCTCTCTCTGATGAGCGCATGGGCTCTCTAACAAATTTCAAAATGATAATAAAATTAAATCGTTTTTAAAAAAAGTTTACTCGCTTCCTCCATGACTGAGGGTCAGAGACAGTCAGCTCTAACAAGGTCTTGGTGCTACAATGCACCCCAGGCGCAGCCAACCTCGGGTCACAGGCCGGCGCTTACCCGGCAGACACGGGCAGGGAGGTCTCAGATCTTGAACTGGGAACCTCCCCGTGTGGGGTT